GAATTCAACTGGTACCTAAAATGCCTCCTTCCTCACCTTCAAATGCCATTCGAACCTCACCTAATCCCTGTTGCCTCCACTCACTACGGTCCCCTCAGATATCAGCACACTCCAGATCCTGACGGGCTCTAATATCCAATGAATGTGTGAGGGTAACAGGGCTGCTGGGGTAATTTCACCTTCCAGTTGTCTTGCAGAACTATAAGCTTTTCTGTCGATACACAGGATCCTCGGCAAAACTTAAAATTTTCTTCTAAGTGCATAAAGATTTCGCAGCCTCTGATTTTCCAGGCCCCATCTGTTACAGATACATGAGGCACAGCTGAGTAGAAGGCATACATTCTGATCTCGGGGCAAATCCCAGAGTTAATCTTTATCATAAATTTCATGAAAAATTTCAAACAGCTGTTTCTCCCTTATTCTAAAAATTAAATTTAGAACAGGAGAACGGGGTGGTGAGAATCAAGTCAACGGAGAATTCCAATTACTTGAGGCCTTGCTAATCAATAAAAATTCAGCTGCATCCTATCCTCTCAGGGGTTAGGTTTTAAGTCAACGAGTAAGACACAAATTGAGAAAAGCCAAACCACCCTTGAAAATCTCTAGACTCACACTTGGTCAGGCTAGATAGTGGTTCTCAACTGGTTCTTAATTTTATCCCCCAGGGGACATGTGGCAACGTCTGGAGACATTTTGGTTGTCATGACTTGGGGAGGAATGTGCGATTGGCATCTAGTGAGTAGAAACCGGTGATACTGATCAAAATCCTACAATGCACAGGGCAGCCCCTCCATGACAGAGAACTATCTGGTCCCGAATGTCCACAGTGCCACGGTTGAGAAACCCTGGGCTAGATGATCACGCAGTGAAAGGCAGGACAGAGCTTAGGACCAATGGCTCCTGCTGGTGTCCCATCGTGGGCTCTGCCCGAGGCCATCTCTGAGTGGGGCAGATTCACCACACCATTTACACTCATTACCTGTTCTCTCACTCACTCTTCTGAGCACTTAAGCTAACTGTGTCTAGAGAGTCCACTGTAGTAAAAACAGCTACCATTTATTGAGTATTTATTATTAGTGCTAAATAATCTTTGTGCACTAATTCAGCCAATGCTCACGGCAACCTCGAGACAGGTACTGTAATCATTATTCCCATTTTACTGGTGAGGAAACTGAGGTTCAAAGAGGTTAAGGAACTTGCCCCCCAATCACTGAGAGTAGATGGGAGAGTCAAAATACAACCCTAGTTCTCTACAGGGCAAAGCTTGTGACCCATGGTCATTTTACACCAGTGAGTCTTACATGGGGCAATGCTGCCTACGCCCGCCCCCCGCCCCGCCCAACTTGCTACTGGCATGATTAGGTTCAAGGATGCCGCTATGCTACTAAACATCTAACAATGTATAGGACAGCCCCTCCCCCCCAACAGAGAACTATCCCAAAATGACAACAGTGCCAAAGCTGAGAACCTTGCTTTATACCACCTCCTGGGTTTCCACCATGTACGTCCACAGGTCAGCAAGGAGTTTATGCTATCTCTTAATGCTGGGATCTAGAATCCAAGATTTCCTACAGTTCAAATATACTTTGCTCACCCTCTTCCCATTCTTCTTTATCTTTACCATGGACAAAAGTCCACCATCAAATCCTGATGTCAGTCTACAATGCAGAATAACTCCAGAGATAGGAAGATTAATGAGTTTGGGAGGTATCATTAGTGTAATGCCACATGGGGGAGAATACCCCTGGACACAAATGGAAAACACAAACACACACTCTTAGTAGAAGAGCATTCCAATAGGACTTTAAAAGTCATGGATTACAAGACTACCAAGAAAGGGGCTGTGGGAGTTGCTCTCACCATGGGTGAGGAGATCACCATGGCAACAAGGGCCAAAAGGATGGGGTACTGGAGACACAACTGAAAATGTTTCCTTGTACACAAGCACGGCACATCTTACTTGTGGTTTCCAACCACTCAAACCAGTGGTTCTCAACCCTGGCTGCATATCAGAATCACCTGTGCTTCTTTCTAACTGTACAGACGGCCAGGGCTCACCCAACACCTTACAAAATTGAAATCTGTAGGGTGTGAGACTGAGCATCTGTAGTTTTAATCCCCAGGTGATTCTGATGCCCACCCAGGGTGTACAGTCACTGTTCAAACTGACACAAAGGTGGAAATGACCCAGAGAAGAGAGACAGAATGGATGGAGGAGGAACTTGATATGAGGATGGGCCTACTTAGGATCCCAGTCTAGAAAGACAAAAGCCAAGAGGGCATTTGACTGGAGCTTAAACAGCAAAAGGAAAAGCACAACCATGGGGCAGTCTCTAAAGCTTAAAAATGCATAGGCAAGGAAATCCTACTTTACATAGTGGATAAGAAATTAAACATCCTAGCAGGCTGTACAATCCCAAAACAGAAACGGAGTCTTCAAGAAACATACAATGACTCATTAAAAGATGGCAGGGACATCCGAGGCACAAAAATCCACTAAGATTTGATTTCCTGAGGGCAACTAGTGTTAGAGGCAAAATATTAGCTGAGTGTGGCATTTATTAGGGAGCAATTTGAAGTACAAAACACTCCATTTTTCTATTTTACACTTACCCATTCAATTATGCCTTTTACAATCAAGAGCTCATGTGTACAGCATACGCTAAAAATATTATCTCCTGGAAAACAGCAATACATAATTTCCCTTGTGCTTAAGTGTATCCCTCAAACAGGGTCCTCACTGATGAATTCGTTCATTCATATATTCATTCAACCAATATTTCTTGGATGCCTACTTCATGCCAGGCACTGTTGTCAACAAAGGAGACCAACCACTGAACACAACAGATAAAAGTTCCTGCCCTCTTGGAGTTTATATTCTAGTGGAGGGGCAGTTAAACAAACAAGTAAAATCTAGCATATCAGATGGTGATAAATGCTGTGGCGTGAAATAACGTGGGGTAAAGGGGATAGGAAATGTGTATACAATTTAAAACAGGTGGCCAGAGAAGTTCTTAAAAATAAAGTAACAAATGAGTAGAAACCTGGAGGTGAAGAAGCAAGCCAGGAAGGTTTATGGGGAAAACTGTTTCAGGCAGAGGAACCAGCAGGAAAAACGGCTAAAAGGAGGGAGTGAATGGACCATTTCAGGAACACTGAAAAACCCAAGATAGTTAGAGCAGAATGAGTCAGGGGTAGAGTGGTGAGAAAGGACAGGAAGGTATCAGGGAACCACTCTGACTGACTTCTGGGTTAAGAAGTAATCAGAGTGGAGGAAAGTGAGGCCCCAAGTGGTGGCAGTGTAGGTAGGGAGAAGTGGTTGCCCTCTGGAAACATTTTTACAGTAGCACTTACAGAATTTGCTGTGGTGAGAGAAAGAGAAGAGTTGGGATGAACCTCAAGATCTTGTGTCTGAGCAATTCAAAGAACAGACTTGTTTTTCACTACAGTGGCAGACTATGGATGGGCAGGTATTTTGGGGGGGCGGGGATAAGGATTTTGCTTTGGACGTGCTGTTTGTTAGATTTGCCTATTAGACATCCAAATGGAGATGTCGAATCTGATACTGGACTTATGAATCTTGAGTTCAAAACACTATATAGACTCATGTAAATATATAAAGTACGTCAAACTGACTGCCACTTATCCAGTCCCTCTTCTGCCTTTAACTGGCTCTCATGAGTTGGAATGCCTCAACCCTCCACAGGCTCCTTTATATTATAAATGAGATACAGTGTAAAAGGGCCCAGAATGGAGGGACTCTGAAGCCAGACCACCTTAGTTCACATCTCTGCTCCTTAGCAGCTGTGTGACCTGCCCTGGATAAGTCTCTTAACCACACTAACTCAGTTTCCTCACCAAGAGAATGGGGCTACCACTTTTTACCTCGCTGAGCTTTGGGGATGAGTATTACAGGATAACAGCATGTCGAGACTTTGAACGGTATCTGGCACCACCCCGAATGCTCCACGAGAATGCTCCACGAGGCTGAGCCGTTACTATCATCATTCATGCATTCGTGCAGCTCTGTATGGAAATCAACCTCAGGACACTGTTCAACAGCAGGGAGCATCGTATGGGGGAATCAGGGCCAGACAAGTGGAGAGCTTGCCGGCAGGTGTGCACCAGTTATGCACGTAAAAAAAGGAGGGAGCTAAAAATAGGTCTCGGAAGTCCCGAAGCTACAGCGATAGCAACACGACTGTCGGTGAAGCAGACACCAGCCTTACGGAGTGCTTTCTCTGGGGGATTCTGAAGTGTAACCGTGTCAAAAACGCTCAGGTGGGATGTCAGCGCTCCACAGAGGAAGGGATCACACGGTCTTTCTGGAAGTGCAGCAAAAAGGGGGGTCATAAAGCAGCGTGGCCTTTCGGCGGCCCAGCTCCTGGGGCCGGGCCTGAACGAGGGGAGACGAGGCGCCCCCAAAGGATCTGGCGGCGAAACTGGCGGGAATTGGGGAGCCGAGTTTGGGGCGGGGGTGGGGAGAACACAGCTCGGGCTTCCTCCGTCCTCGGCGTGAGGACGGCCCGCGGAGAATGAGGACCTCCCAGGACTAGGGGACGGACCAGTCCCGGGAAGGAGGCAAGCCGGGTCTCCGAGGACGAGGGGGTGAGGGAGGGAGCGTGGCGCGCTCGGGCCCGCGACCAGGCCCTAAGGTCTATTTACATCCGAGACTGAGGCACTGAGGCCGCGCCTCCAGCTCCCTGCAGCCTCGAACCCGGCCTGCGAGGCGGAAGGGGCTCGGGGCCGCGGCCACAGCGGCCTCCCGGCTCCTCTGGCCGGACGGTGGCAGGGGCCAGGGCTGCCGGGAGTGACGGGCCGAGCCGGTGAACCGGCCTGAGGGGACGCAATGGGGGGCGACTGCAGGGCCCGCCGGGCCACTAGCTCGGAGCGGACGGGAATCCCGCACTCCGCGTGCTCACCCCTCGGGCCTGTGGCCGCTGGGCCTCCCGCCGCCCGTTTCCCGGCGACCAGCTGGCCCCCGACGGTGCCTCCCCTACCTTCGTTCGCCAGGTCCGCCATTTTACTTCCTTAAGCCCTCCCACAAGGCCCCGCGCCGGCCCGGGCTCGCCAGCTTTCTGCCAGAAACTCCCGCGCGTGCGCACTGGACAAGCCGACTCTGTGCGAGGCGGGCGGCTCGCGCCTGCGCGCTCAGCCCCCGCGCAGAGTAGAACTCCAGATCGCGCGTTCCCGGCCCGGTTGCGCTCCGAGCATGCGCCTGCGCACTAGCTGCCCCCCGCCTCCTTTTCCCGCCGACGGAGGGGGCGTGGGGAAGGCAGGGCGCATGCGCGGTGCCGGCTCCGCGGACTGTAGGGGTGTTCCGTGTCGTGGTGTCCTTCGGGCCGGGTCTTGATGCCCCTGCTTTCCCGCTTGTTTTCTGGGGGTCCCCTGCGGTGGGAGCGTCAGCCGTGGAGGGCGTCACAGTCGATGCGCCCCTCCAGGTAAGTCCCTGGACTTGCGGGGCCTTACACACGCGCAGGGGACCTGGTGCAACGGACTTGGCTCAGGACCTCTGAGCCACGAGAATGGGAGCTCGGTGACGGCCAGACCTAACGCCCCTTGCACCGAGCTGGGCCTCAAGTTTCTCCATCTGTAAAATGGGACCATCAACCTCACAAGGCTTGAGTGAGAATATCAGACCCCTTAGGCTTCAAGGTTCTTCATCTGTAAAGTGGGATCACAACGCACAGGGCTTAAATGAGAATATTGGACCCCCTTGAGCCTCAAGATTCTTCATCTGCAAAATGGGATCATACCTCACAAGGCTTATGTGAGAATATTGGACTGCCTGGACTCGTTCTCGACTCACCTGCTATGAATCACTCAGCAAATCCTGCGGGCTCGGCCTCATCTCCAAAATATATCCCTGATCCACCTGTTCTCACCAGCCCGGCTGTCACCAGCCTAAGGCCGCATCGTCCTCATCTCTCTCCTGGAATACTGGACAGCCTCCCCTCTCCTGTCGTTTCTTTCATTCTGAAGGATCTCCTGGCTCTTCTGCACATAGCAGCAGGCTGAGGAACCTTTTAAAAATGTAAACTAAAGATATAAAATATTTTTACAGTATCACGGGTACATGCCTCCACAGTGCTTTTAAGGGACTTTCAGCTGAATTTGGACTAAATCCTAAACCTCTTGTTCAGGCTTATGAAGCTCCCATGCCTCACCTGTTCCCCCTTGCTCACTGTGCAGCTCAGCTGCATGGGTCTTTCCGTCCTTGGAGTACACCAAACTCATCCCAGCCTCAGGGTCTTTGCACTTGCCTGAGCTTGGGACTGTGTTCCAGGTCGTCTAGGTTTAAGTCTGCCCCTTCTTCTCCAGTATGATCTAGAAGGGTGGGTACCCTGCAACCTGTGGGTCAAATCTAGCCTGTGAGCTAAGAATGACTTTTTACATGTTCAACTGGTTGGGGGAAAAAGTCAAAAGAAGAATAATATCTCGTAACATATGAATGTGGCATGAAATTTAAGTTTCAGTGTTTATAAATAAAGTTTTATTTGAAAACAGCCACTCTTACTCATTTATGTATTGTCTGTGGCTGCTTTTGGGCTACAACGGCAGAGCTGAGTCCTTTTAACAGAAACCGGCCAATAAAACTCAAAGTATTCACTTTTTGTGTCTTTACAGAGAAAGTTTGCTAACCCCTAATCTAGGGCATGGATATTTACATGGTTGTGCTACACTTGTCTGTACAACTAGTGGGGTGTGGTAAATTATTAACAACTGCTTCTCTGGGGGAGAATGTGTGTGTTAGTATGTATGTATGTATATGTGTGTGTGTGGTTTATTGTAAATTTTTTTTTTTTTCCTTTTTGTCTCTTTTTTTGTGACCGGCAACGGATCGCAACCCTCAGTGTCGCGCCCGTACCAGACCGGGACCGGCAACGGGATCGCA